ATCTCCCACATAATCAGAATCTGAATATCCCACTATATGGAGTGAATCTGATCTTCTATACGTTATCATGAGGCTTTTCGTTCCTTGCAAATAATGCAAGACTTTCTTTACTAATTTTTATTGTTCTGTTTCAGAATTGCTCTAGAATCTACCAAGTAATCCGGTAACAAATGTCAAGTCAGGGCTCGTACATACTTGAGCATATTGCAAGCTTCCAACAGCTGAAGCATATGGAACCGTTTTTATTTGATCGATCTCATACTGATTCTTGAGGCATTGAAAATCTCCATATCTGTCGCCTTTGACTATAGAAGCAGGTGAGGGACTACATTTGTGCATATTGAATTTCTTTAAGATCTTTTCTATGTATGCCTTTTGTGATAGTTCTAATACCCTTTTACTTCTATCTCGGTGAATCTCGATCCCTAGAACGAACGAAGCTTCACCAAGATCTTTCATATCAAATTTTGAGAACAAAAACTTCTTTGTCTCCAGTAGTAGACTGACATCACTACTAGCAAGTAAGATATCATCCACATACAGAACAAGAAAGATATACTTCCCATTCTTAAACTTTGCATATACACAATTGTCCTCTATATTCTCTTTAAACCTAAAATTCTTTATTATCTGATCAAACTTCAAGTACCACTGTCTTGAAGCTTGTTTTAATCCATAAATAGATTTCTTTAGGCGGCATCCCATTCATTCTTTTCCTTCCATGATAAAACCTTTCGGTTGTGCCATGTAAACATTTTCCTCCAAGTCCCCGTTGAGAAATGGCGTCTTTACATCCATTTGATGTAATTCTAAATTATAATGTGCCACTAATGCCATTATGATTATGAAGGAATCCTTACATGAGACTGGAGAAAAGGTCTCATTGTAATCAATGTCTTCTCTTTGCGTAAAGCCTTTTGCCATAAGTCGCGCTTTATATCTCTCTATATTCCCTTGAGAGTCAAGTTTTGTTTTGTAGACCCATTTATACCCTACTATTTTGGCTCCTTTAGGAATTATTTCCATGTTCCAAACTTTATTGGCATTCATGGATTTCATTTCATCTTCCATGGCCTCAAGCCAGTTTGATGAATGATCACTTCTCATGGCTTCTTCAAATGAGGTGGGATCATTCTCCATTTGAAATTCCTCGGTGTTGTATACTTCATAGTCAGCAGGAATAGCTGATTTTCTAACTCTTTGAGACCTTCTAGGGGACTCCACATTTGACACATCTTCTGTTTGAGGCTGTTGTTGCTCCCCCTCATGTGTGGCAATAGGTTCTACAGGATCCTGAAGAACATGTTCCTTATTGTCATTCATTGTTGCCACATGTGGAATAACAACAGGTGCTGTCATCATAGTATCTTGCACTGTCGGTGCAGCGATAGCAGGTAGTGAGAAAAATGGCTCATGAATCATCAGAGTGGGCGCATACACCCGCTTCTCTTCAAGGTCAATTTCTTGAACTACCATGCTCTCCCTCATCATTTCATCCTCTAGGAAGACAGCGTGTCTCATTTCCACAAACTTTGTATGTCTATCTGGATAGTAGAAACAAAAACCTTTTGACTTTTCTAGGTAGCCAATGAAATGGCAACTTACTATTTTGGGATCTAGCTTCCTAATATTTGGGTTAAATACTTTAGCCTCAGCAGGACTCCCCCACACACGTAAGTGGTTTAGTGAGGGTGCTCTTCTAGTGCACAACTCATACAGTGTTTTGGGCACCGACTTACTTGGTACTCTATTGAGAATATGAATGTCGGTTTTTAACGCCTCCATCCACAAGCTCAACGGTAAGGTGGAGTAACTTATCATACTACGCACCATATCCATCATGGTACGATTGCGTATTTTAGCTACTCCATTCTGCTGAGGTTCACCCGGTGTAGAATACTAGGCTACTATGCCATTCTCCTGTAAGAACCTTGTAAAAGGTCCAGGAACTTGGCCATATGGGGTATGCCGACCGTAGTACTCCCCCCATAGTCGGACCTGACTATCTTAATCTTTAAATTGTGTTGGTTTTCAACTTTTGCCTTAAATATCTTACATTTATCCAATGCTTCTGTTCTTTCTTTGATTGTATAAATGTAGCCATAACAAGAGTAATCATCTGTGAATGTTATGAATGAATTATAACCATCCACAATCTTTATAGGAAATGGACCACAGATGTCTGTGTGAATAATCTGTAAAATTTATGTGCTTCGTTTGACATCTTTCTTAATTTTCTTTACACACTTTCCTTTTATGTATTCTCTGCATTGTTCTAAATCTGAGAACTCTAATGGAGGAAGAATATCATTCTTAACTAGTCTTTCTATTCTTCCTCTCGAAATATGACATAAACGACAGTGCCATAATTTCGACGATGCATCGTGAGCTCTCTTTCGTTTTCTGTTTACATCCGCAGACGAGGATACATTCTCATTGTCGCACGCAATGTTCCCATCATCGCATACAACATTCACATCATCACGTAGTGATAACAAATAGTATGTGCTCTCTTATGCCACCATTTCTAGAGTACCTCTCTGTCACCAGCTGCTTTTTTGGCTGGGTAGCATATGTCTTTGAAGAGCTAATGAACTGACTCTTTATTCTATCGAGGTACTTGATGACCGTGTCACACTCTGGGATTGAGCCCATAATTGTAGGCTCAATCGTGTTCTTTATCACAGCCAAACATTTCTTGTTGACAGTGACCACTTCCTATGCTCAAGGTCATAGGACATCTTTTGGGATTCAAAATCCCTCTCTCTAGTTGCCCAAGCGGCATCAGCCTCGTTGTCTCCCTCACCGGTGCCACAGGCTCAGTGAGACATGGTGAGGTGACTACCTAGTCCACCTCAGCCAAGATGAAGGCCAGGTCAATCTTTTTCTTCCACTCCGTGTGGTTGTCACCTTTGAGAGTGGGGATCTCTTTAATACAACCCATCAAGTTGTATTCGCCGGAAAACACAATTCATATTGAGTGAGAACATAAACATAATAATAACAATTGCATGCCTTAGTTCCAACATTGGTCAAAATTAAAACATACAATTGTCCTCTACACTAATTCTATATCACCGTTGGGTAGAAATAGAATTAATGCATGAATCATTAAAATTACGATATTGTTATTAACAACGTTGGTCAGAAAATAACAACATCATAATCATGTCAAAATCTCTTTTTCTCCAATTAAATATCACGTTGGTTCAAAATAACTGGAGAATAAATAATTTCTTTAACAGCAGAAAAACTAATTCAATTTAATGAATTTTGCCCATAGGAAAAATCTCTTTTCTATTTTCTTTGAGCCATTTATCCATTTTCTAGGAAATAAAACTTTTACTGGAAAAGGAAAAGAAAAAACTGACTCATTTCTTTCACTGTCTTTGGCCCAACCGGCAAAGCGGCCCACGGCCCACGGCTACGCGCGCGCTCTCCCTCACGCTCCCCCGCGCCTAGGCCGCAACGTAGGCCTGGGCCGGGAAAGTGGCCCAGCGCTCGCGCCCGCCTGGGCCGAAAGCCGGCCTGGCCGTTCGCAGCCGCTCGATCAAGATCGACGGCTCAACTTCTTTTTCGCGCGAACAAAAATAGCGGTTGCAGCCGGCTCCCCCAAAACCCTAGCTCAGTCTCACTCCCTCCCTTTCCTCTTTGACCGCCATGATGGAGAGCAGAGGGCAGTGTGAGAGACTAGAGCTGAGAGAGAGAGAGAGAGAGATGGTGCCATCGTTCGTGGAGGCGAGACCTCGCTCCCCCCGCGCGGCCGTCCCCCTTTCACCCTAGCCTCACTCTCCTCCCTCCCCTTCTCTCACTTCAGCGCGCAGCGACCGAGAGCGAGAGCGCAGTGGAGTATGGCGCCATCACCTCCCCCCTCGCTGGTGCGCACGCTCCCCAACGGGTGAGCGCGCCGCCGTTGAGCGGACTAGCGGTGGTGCCCTTGGCTGGAGCTCGCACGGCTCGGCCGTCTTCCCACGCGCCGGTGAGGCAGCAGCGCGGTGAGCGACGTGGTAGGCCCCTTCCCCTTTTCCCCTTTCTCCTTTTCTTCATCTATTTTTGGATCTTCTTCTCTGTTCTTCTCGGATTTCATCCGATTGGGGATTAGGGTTAGGGTTACGTCAAATTAGGGTTAGGGTTTGACTCACTGGAGTCACTGTTCATCTTCCCCATCGAGTTCTTCATGGGTTTGAGCTCGGATTTGGGTTCTTCTTGAAGCCGAGTCCCTCTTCTTACTCCTTTCCTTCACCCAGTTAGGTTTAGGGTTTCGCTAGGGTTAGGATTAACCCGATTCATTTTTTCTTTCGGTTTGGGTTAGGTTGAACCCTCTGATCTTTTCTTGCCACACGCCGGCGAAGACGGCGGTGCAGCACCTTTCCCCCGCGGTGGCGGTGGTGATCGGCAGTTGAGTGGCACCCGCCACCCCTGGTCTCTTTTCATTTTCTTTTACCCGGTTTGGGTTAGGGTTTCAATTCGAACCGGATCGAACCCTCTGTTACTCTTCGATTTCTTTTCAATTCTCTACCCCATACTAGATATACACACTGGCAACCCGGCTCTGGTACCATTGAAGGAACAGAGTACCTCTATAACGTAGATCAGGGGATAAACATCTTACTTAGATGGAGAAACTGATTCCTCTACTTTGCCCTGGCGCAGTTGCGCCGCAACCGCGTGGACGCCGGTGTCGTGGGAGCTCGGCGCGGTGGAGTCCAGCGTAGTGGTGGCGATGCAGAGGCGACGGTGACGTGAGGTGCCGCGGTCCGGTGGTGACGGCGAAGTCAGTGGGTCTTTCCGTCGTTGGCAGCACCCTCTTTAGATCGGGTTAGGTTTTTAGTTGTTGGTGGGTCACGGTGGCTCAGGTCAACCTCGTAGTTAGAGCCCTGGTCTCCACCTCTCTTTATAGTGCTGTGCGACGGGGAGCCAACAACCATGGAGTGGTTGGACGCTCCCGATCAGGGTGTTGATCCAAGGGCCATGGTGTAGATCAAACTAACAGGGCGAACATGGAGCCGCTGGACTACGCAGGGAAGCGTTGGAACAAGGCTCTAGAGGTGGCAGCGCGGGGCGACGGGGTGGGGCTGTCGGACCAGCTCCGCGACCGCTTATCGTTGGAGTGGAGCAACGGCACGATGGAGCTCGACGTCAACGTGAAAGTCTTCCGCGGTAAACGTGTCGGCGGCATTGACAGCGGATTAAGCGATATGATCCCAACGAAAGCGATCGTCTGTAAGGCGATTCTTCATGATAAACAAGATCAACCAATGTCTTCTTGCACGTGGACAGAACTGAGACCAATAGTTGAACTGCTATGATTCATAGTTGCTGCCTTGTTGGATTTTTTTTATAAACATATTTGCTGGAATATTGAATTTGAATTGGCACATATGTGCTCAAGCAAGTACTACTATGATTTATTGATTTTTTATTATATAAAATTTCCTTTCCTAAACGCCCTGATGTACATCTTATCCTTGTGAATGAATAGTAAGACATTTGACTTTTTTAAACTCAAGTTTGACCACTCGTCTTATTCAAAAAAATTATGTAAATATAGTCAAATTTAAGTCGTTCTTGAAGAACTTTTGTTAATAAACCAAGCCATGACAAAAGAAGTGATATTTTGCACAAAATTTTGAATAAGACGAGTGGTCAAACTTGATGTCAAAAAAGTCAGACATCTTATAATTTGGGATGGATTAAGTATATACGAGAGACTGAGTTAATACATTTCTTCAAAAAGAGAGAGATAGAGACTGAGCTAATACACTTTGTGATTTACTACGAAGTCACCACGTGTATCATATTGCCAACGTGCCAAAATACATTTTATCATTGTGATGCGGTATATGAGAGAATAAATCAGTATATCTTGAGTTTGACAAAATTATTGTACTCACCTCGTTATAAACCTTGAACAAAAAGATTTCTGAAATTACATCAGACGTTATATATATATATGTGGTAGAACCGCCCGAAATAGCTTACTTACAGAGGCGCTCGTCTTCCACCAGACACTAAGCACCCTGAAAGTAACTACAGCGAGCGGTGTCCGTCGGGCACACCCCGAGCGAGAACCCAAAAAATCCACATTTTTCCCAAGGATCCAATAATGAGAACGAGTTACAACACAATTCCATCTCATACATTAGAGTCTCTTTAAAAGTACATTATTATAATACCAAATACAGAGTGCGGAATGATAAACAACGGAATATTAAAAAGATAGCATCTAACGATAAGATAGCGAGGAATCCGTCTGAGCTCACCAGAAGGATCCTCCACACAAGGTACTCCTCAAGCATCACCTGCAACAGGGGTAAATAAACCCTGAGTACACAATGTACTCGTAAGACTTACCTGACTAGTGGGAATAATTTCCCGACTCCAAGGGATATGATAGGCTTTATGGTTTGCTGGTTTTTTAGCAGAAAGCAATACTAATAGTAAGTCCTTATTTATGTATTATTATTAACAGCCGTATTAAGTTATCACCTAGCCAGTCTATATAAGCACATGTTCTACTTTCAAGCACAAGTTGAGCAATCAGTTTATCATGAATGTTCATATTTTATCCCTATTTGCGAGTAACGGCAGGTTACTCACGCTACCGATATCCTGAGCATAGCAGCTACTCGACCTGTACTAGTAGGACTCATGGGTAGATATATTTATGCATGTAGTTTGCATAAAATGCCTGTAACGTAAATGCACATCATATATATATATTCAGTGATCATTTAAAAATAGGGGTTATGCACCGGGGCTTGCCTTGGACAGGTGCCGGGTCAGCAAGGTCAGTACCAACAGGCTCCTGGGCTTTCTCCTGTGCGAAGATCTCCTCCTCGTATTCCTCGATAACCTCGTCGTACTCTGGCTCGCCGACGGGTACGAAGTCTACATGTTCGTGATCTACATGAAATGATGATGCAATGCTTTAATAAGATGACAACAACAACTCTTCGCCTAAAAGTACATCTATTAAACTACTAAGTGAGGTCTACCCACTAAGGCTAAGATACATACCAGCACCACTAACAAGTATGAACGTGACATACATTCTTACGGCGACTACGGATATTCCTACTCCTAACGCCAATTTACGATACATACAATAAAGCAAGGATAATAACTACGCTATTAAGCAATTCGCTCTACGGCTACCAATTTTACAGCAGGTATATAAAGGTCTAAGGAACCTACTGTAACAATTTCAAATCTAAAGCTATTGTCGGTTTGCCACAATAATTCCTGCAATTATTGATCGATATAACGCTAAGCTTTCTACTTAAATCTTATGAGCCTATCATCCTAACAGCTAACGGTGAACTAACTATACTAACAAGTAGATGGCATTTTTGCGAACCTAACAAACTTAGTTTCACTATTTTTGGACAACCATGCAATTTACTACGATTTATCGAAGTTGGATTCATAACAAAAAAAAACAAATAAGCATTTCTATTCTCTGGAAAATAAGAAACCGAATTCTCCCCGTCGGCCCACAACGCGCGGCTCGGCCCGGAGCACCATCCCGCCCGCGCGTGTGAGCAGGCCACCGCGTGGCCCACGTAGAGGCGCGGCCCACCCGGCCAACGGCCCGCGATGGGGGAGGGCCTGTGCACGTCGGCAAATATGCACGGGCACCCCCAAAGTCCTAGATAATCTCCATGAGCACCAGAGCACTATTTCCTCAGTCTACCATTTTACAACTACACCCTCCCATTTCTACTTCTTCACCGCGGCTCAGTCCTTGGCGCTCAGGGCGCGCACCGGCGCAACGGCGCGGGCACTGAGCGACCACGCCGGCCTCACCCGAACCTCTACTACCTTCCTAAGGGGTCGATAGGTACCTTGACGACAAGTAGAAGCTACTGGAGGCGACACGGCGAGCAGAGGCGCAGTCATGAACTCCCTCCTCGGTGGTGGCCCTTGACCTGCAAAGGCGGGCGCGTTCCTGTAAGCAACAGTGACGGCAAGGCCAGCACACGAGCTAGCGAGCACCAGGGAGTACCCACGGATACCTTCACATTGACGGTTCGGTCGGAGGTTGAAGCGACCTGATTTTCACGAGGTAGCGGTCCTAGGTAAGCTTGGCGTGGTCCAGAGGTAGCGGTCCTAGAGGCGGCCATTCAACGTTCGTTGCCATCTGCATGTTTCAAGGAACAGGTGTTAGCAGGTCAATAATAGATAAGCCTTGCATAGAAGTAAATGCAGGGTCGGTATATAACCGAAAGAAGGGCTGTTCACATCCTATTCTATCGTCCATTTCTAAGGGTTTCGTCCTATGGTCAAGTCTGGCTTTGATACCAACTGAAGCGACCTAATTTCCGCGAAGGGAAATCCACAGAGTCGAAGTGTAATAAGACCGTTGTAGATCATATTACCCAAATTCCAGTCAAATATCACATCCATACAACGATAATATCAGAGTACAATAGTGCGGAATTACATAAATTATTACCTCGCCGCATTGGCGGAATCAAAAGTAGCATTCATTCAGAACAGCTTGAGGATAAGATCGCCAAACTCGAGCGTAGGAACGAACCCCTCAACCATTAAACTCCTCAGAGCTATACTCCTCAGTAGAACCTGTGTGCCAAAATTTATCAGTACGATTTGTACTGGCCACTCCCACCCTATGAGCATTGCTTTGTGGAAATTGGATGCAAGTTGGATATAATCAAAAGGAACCTATAAGGCTGGGGTTTCCTATGTATTAGCATTTCAAGTATATAATAACAGTTGGTCAAGTTTTAACACCATTCCCACACCCATTCCATCCCACTCCCATTCCAGAGCCAGGTTTCGATCCTGGGATCGATATAACACCATCTCTACACCATCACCATACCACAACCATACCATCGCTTAGTCGATAGGCCAACTCCCACTCGGCACTGTCTCAAGGCCCGTAGCCCCTGGCTATGTCTGAACACTCACTCTCAGGGGGAGAAGAGAAGGACTCATCTCACTATCTAGTTTAAGCGAAACCCAAAAAAGGTCCATAGCCGACAAGTCGGCATATGTATCGATCGATCAACCATACACTCTGCAGAGGTTTTACATAACCACAAGATCTGCCTTCCTCGCTGACCGTCGTCAACTGGGCTGATTCTAGCCGCTTGCTAGCCTATAATAATGCCACTCTACCATTCAGCCCTGGTACACCCCAAGTCTAGTCTAAGGTGGCTAAAACTGTGAGTCATGAGCCAGGTCCACAAGGTCTCCATGAAGTCTCGGAAGGGTGTGGGGGAAATCCTCCACGCCCCGTACCTCCCTCACACTGTCCGCTATCAACTTAGCAGTAGTGGCAATATCCTACCAAGTAGTCCGGCCGTCCCGCACCATATAGGGCGAGTGGTACGTAAGGCTTCCCGGTGAATCTAAGTACTAATAACTCCTTAGGGATGACCAAGTCAGAATGTCTTCATCAGGGTTTCCATTTACCGTGCCACCACAGCACCTCCACCCTGGGCTCCTCCCATCATAGGATCACACCCAGGGCCACCGCATATACCATTTACCCACCACAGGTATCCATTCCAGGGGTGCCTAGGTAGCACCCCACGGCAAGACTTGCCCCAGGCTCGTCGTATACTCCAACTTGGTCGACACAATCCTTACCCTCCACACACCCAAGTCACACACGCAGCACTCTCCCCATAGTCTAGATAATACCAGTTTTCCACCACGCATCAATGTAGTGCAAGCGTAGTAGAGGTAATAAGCAATGAAATATAGTAGCAAGCGAGTGACTAGCCTAACAGCAGGGTGAGCAGGGGTAAGGTTGCATCAAGGTAAAGGCCATCAAGAAAGCATTCTACCATGCAAGTCCTACCATGGTGTGATCATGACAATAAAGTAAGCACTAGCATTTCTATTTTAGCCATGCGTAATAGGTGCTACGAGATTGGGTGGGATGTGGCACCTTCAGTGAAGTCGTCTCCGTACTCCTCACGGTACTCTCAGTCCTCGTCCGTCTAGTTCTCTGAGTCTGCATATGATCGAATTATAGTCGCGTTAGCGACGCCTATAGAATAGCACAAACAAGCAATAAAGATTCAAAAGAGCCAAATGCACTCAATTATGAGTTCATTGCGTAGAGCTCGATTTTAGATGAATTTTGGTCCTGGTCTTGTATTTTTCTGAGGTCATATGAATTAGTTATGTATTTCCAAAGATTAAATTAAGGCTGATTAATTCAGGATTGACACGTGTCAGACTGTGACTAGTTCACGTGGGATGTAGGGACACAGCTGGTGTGGTGGTCGGAGAGGTCGCCGAAGTGGTTGGAGAGCTCGCCGACGTGGTC